GAGAGAGAGAGAGAGAGAATTCCATAAAGTTCCCATATTAAAATAAATACTACTTTCCTGTATAGTTGGCAATTCCAAGGGTGCCTAGTTGATATACCAGCTATAAGATCAATCTGTGAAGGTTCAGACTAGCTCTGTGCTGTATATGCATGCTTTTTACGAGGACTATAACTTCACAACTCATGATCTTGCATATTTGTGTTGTAATTCCCCATATCCGCTTTTTGATGGCTGCTGTAATTCTACGGCACGTCTAAGTTACAAACTTCTTTCAAATGAACTAATATAAGGTGAAAGAGGACGGAGAGCCTCAATACGGCTAACAAAACCTATGGTGATTAAAGTGCCATTATTTCTGATATTATGTTTCATTATTGCATCAAGAGAACTGAACCTTGTCTACTTGCATTTCACCGTCTCTGGCATAGACTTTTAATGTTGTCTAAGTTGCTACATATTTCATAATAGCTTTATGAATGATAAAGTGTATAAGACACCATGAGTTTGATTACTGAGCAGGATTTAAAGTGACACAAGACACACTGGCAAAGATTGAATGGACCAAGGTGTTGATGATTTCTATCTAAGATGCCTTTATATGCTCACAGCTGAAGTGTTTGTTTCTTGGTTAAATAATTTTCTCTGCTCAAGGAAGTAGCTGAACTATCAGTCTGTTTTGGTAGTTACCTTATTAAGTCGCTCTTCTTTCAACTCAAGAGTTGATATAATTTCTTATCCGGGTCTTGTGACAGGGAGCTCAACCTTGCACTTACTACATGCAGCATGGATTATGCAAGTTTGGGCAGACATGCAAATTTGACCATCCGGTGGCAACTATTAGCTACAGTCCTTCTGCATCGTCTCTCTCTGATATGCCAGTTGCCCCTTACCCTATCGGATCATCTGTTGCCACCTTGGCCCCATCCTCATCATCCTCAGAGCTACAACCTGAATTCATTTCTACCAAAGAGCATTTCTCTTCTAGGATGCCGCCTGAGAACAGATCTAGCAGCTCCATTGGTTCAATCTTTTCAACAGGGGGTTTTCTTCCCCACTCATTTATCCAACCTCAAACCTCTACTTCAAGAAGCAGCAGCAGCAGCAGCCCAGTTCCTGGTAATGATATCTCTGGTTCAAGATGAGAATCTTGATCAGATTCTTGTTCAAAGTAAGACAAACAGCTCATTCTTCATTGGTCCTGAGACAAGTGGCAATGCAGCATATGCATGCCTTACTTTTGCACTCAATCAAGATTCCAATTTTTTCATGTTGCAGAACTCTCAGGATCTCATCTAGGTGTTCCCACTTCTGAGATCTTTTTACTCTTGTTCACACAGTACCTTAGACCAACTTTCTACACAATAAGCTATGGCCAACATGGTATAGCAAATCCTATAGTATTCAATCTCTTCTTGTTCCCTTAATAAAAGGAGCCCTTCAGCAACACTAGAAAAGCCAAACAGTTCTACCTAGAATTATCAATTCCAGCTTTGATAACTTCATATCAGAATTGATCGCAAGCTTCATGGCTTGTGTCTTCCCCTGCTTCACTTTTATTTATCATCTCATTTCTTGTATGCATACCGTGCATAATTCTCTGAATAGCAGGCTATCGGATTCTAGTTACTGAACTAATCTGCAAATGTAAAGGCTGCTGGATTTTGCATCAACCAGTTGTCCAACTTGTCACTGTATCTTCTCATAGTTTCTCTGAACAGAATATTGAAGACCCAAGTGTAATTTTATGATCAGACCATTCTGAGACAAGGTACACTACTGTTGTGAGACACTGGACACTTTTTAAGTTAATTGTTTTTATCAAAGAATTTATTACATTTTCAGTTCAGCATAGATATGAAGTATTTGAATTTAGTTTATTTAATCATTTGTCTAGATTCGCCTTTTTTCCCTCTCTATTCACATTTATGATTCAACACTGATAGCTTTATGATGCAATCCAAGAACCCAATTGTTTCTTGATGTTTCAGCCAAATTTATCTTTGATAGAAGTGAGCTCTTTTAGACGTTATGTCTGTTTAGTTTATTTTTGTTCGGCTATCTTATTGACAGAACTCATGACTGACCAATAAGCTGAATGCTGATTAGCAAATTTGATGTCTTTCTTTGACAGAGTATTTATGATTAAACTGATAACAGATATGTAGTAGATTTGTTTATCATGTGACAATTTTATTTATTGCATACATATTGCGTGAAGGATAAACTGTTCAGATTCTAACAAGTCTAAAATTAACAAATTTTAGATCGTTTCTCTCAATGACCAGGTAAATGTATTAGGCTGCAAGATTTGTGTTTCTTTGTTTCATAAGTTTTTTTTTTTTTGGTTCTGTTCCAACTTCAGGTTCCTGATTTAGAAAATAAGCAGCAGAGACAAGTTTGAAATCCATCTAAAGCAAGTTTTAAATAATGGTAGATATTGATAATGTAGGATGACAGTGGGTTGAGTGTTTTTTTCACATGTCAATCTATCTGACCTATTTAAATCGAGTTCGACCTTAGAGACTTAACAACTATTTTAGGGATCTTCGATTGTGATGGGATTGTTGGTTCACAATGATCTTTAGATGTCATAATATTCCTTATTCTCAATATTTACACCAATGAAACTGCCATGGCCTCTATCTAAATCCTGGGTACCGTAGATCTGAGACGAATGAAGGCTTCCTTGGAACCCTGTGATCCTCTCTCTCTCTCTCTCTCTCTCTCTCTCTCTAGCTTCTGTAGTGGCCACTCTCAGCATTGAGGGCTGAGCAAAATGGATATCTGAGCGAGCTTGAGTTGCCTTGAGGACTTGTCAAGTCAACAGTTTGATCAAGTATTGTGTTCTTTCATGTTGCCTTTGGAGAAAGAGTTGAAGCAAATAATGGCTGACTCTATCTCACCCACACTACTACAATCATCTATGGGACCGCCGGAGAACAATTCATGTAGCAGTAGTAATTTATATATGATTACATTTTAATGATGAAAGAGTTGAGGAATGCAGGCAAGATAACAATCCAATGGTCACCTAGAATTAGCAGAGGGGAAGTAGTCAAAGGGCAAAGCAGAATTATTTCAGCCATCAGTTTAATGTTTATATAGGAGTTTATTCCTTATTTTGTGCCTTTTAGCTCTAATTGTTGAGGGTGGTAGATGTTTTTAGATTCATGAAGTAAGGAACTTAGGTATAGAAGACGACTACTATGGAATATATTGTAGAGATTGGGATTTGATTATTCTAGAAGGATGTGAAAAAAAATAAATAGAGATTATGGTGAAGAATTTGTTCTTCGTAGGTAGACGTAGTTAAGAAGTATCAAACTACTACTATAACTACTTGGAAGTGTGGAACCACTACTCTTATGCTTGGATTTGTATTTAATTGTTTATCTCAGAAATTTTCTTTTGTATCCCGGACCTTCTCCCTCAACACTTACGAGGATGAAGGGACATAGTGGCTTGTCATTATACAGGTGGAACCTAAAGATTTCTTTCGTGGACTCATGATGGTCTTTGTTTTAAAAACTTCAGTTTACTGGAGCACTTGAATCAAGCCAAGTATCTAAAGATGCTGGGATTCTTTTGGTCCCTCTCCAGATACTCTCTGGTGATCAGAGCTTCGATTCTTTTCTTAATCGCCTTGATGTCAGGCTGCACATAAATCAAAGTCAAAGTTAGGTCACAGAAGGCTAGAGAAACAGCAGTCCAGATAGTATTATTTAACAAGTATTAAAGGGTTAAACTAGGCTTAAAATTAATTGCCCTTCCAGCATGATGAAATGTTAAATAGGTTTTATAAAGGTAAATATGTTCATGTGTCATAGTGAAAACAATTCTCGTAGTATTTTATAAACTATATTCGTAAACTTTTTGATTTGTTTTGGCCAAGTTCTAAAACTAGTAGAATTTTACATACATACTACTGAGAAGCTAATCGTTGTGTTCATTTGGCTAATTCCTCGAAGACTACTCAATCGTTGACCTCAGGAATTGGAATATCTTTTTTTGCTTTGTTGAACAATTCATTAGTTGTATGAGAGAACTGAGATAATCTAGTTTTTCTCTTTTTTAAAAAAAGGAAGGGGGGGATGGGTTTGTGGGGTAAATTAGCATACTACTTACTACCTTTAACATGCAGTTAAACAGCAGAGATCAAGTACCTTAAACACGTGGTTGAGATGTTCCATACATTCCACCACTAATTGTTGGTAAACTATCACTTTGCGATTCTTCATAATCCGAACTATTGCTGCATCAATTGCATATTCTCTACCTTTATCAACATCTTGGATTACCTTGTTCCTTTCGTCCACCGGAGGAGGAGGTATCTATAGAGAAATATAAAACGTTCGACCTCAGTAAGCACGGCATGAGGAGGCAAGCAAGCGAAAAGACAACAGCAGCATGTAAAGCCATGCGTTACCTTGATCCTTTTCATTGCTTCAGTAAACTCAGAATTGAACTCAAAGTAATCCGTTCTGGAGATACTTTGGGAATTTGGCTCCTTGTTAAGAATTTTGTATCTTGCACATGAAAGAGAATGAAGCAATCTGGTCACTTCATCGTCCGTCATAGCTAGTTGTGACTTGATCTCAGAATAACCGAGTCTGTCAGCTGAGTTGAAAAGCATCAGCACTGCAGCCTGTAGAGAAGGAACAAACTGTCAGGAGGATCTTTATAACAAGGTTTAATAATTTAAGAGAAGAGAAAGAAACCTGATGCGTTGTCACGATCAGCTCTATGGTTCTCTCTCCAAACTTCGCATTGATATTGCAGGAACCAAGTGAATAAAGCCATGTGAGCTTTCGACGATATGTTGTTTCATAAAATATTTTGAACGCTTGTACGCATTTGATCTACACTATGGGTAAAAGATTGAATTATTATCCATAATCAAAATCATACGTGAGGAAAACAAAAGAGTACTTTCTCCTTACCAATTCAGAAGGAAGATTGAAATCATGAGATTTGTAGCCTGGCCAGAATCGAGTAGTTAGAACAGTGACTGATAAGTCAGTTCCAGGATTTTCCTGGCGATTAGATTTGAGATACTCTTCAAAGCTTGATTGGATTTCTCTTGCGAGTGTCATATCAGTAACCTGGAAAGAAAGAAAATTGAGAAGCTGATCACTGGGCAGCCAGCGGCTAATTAATCATAGGGGATTAGTATGAACGAACCATGCCCTCCATCTTCCAGGTTACTTGCCACCCAAATTGTTGCTCCAGCTTTTTTAACATACTCCTTTCGTAGTCATCATGAGCACTTCTGTTGAATAGTAGCCTCCGAGCGAGCTTCTTTCTGCAGATTAAATTTATGATGGAAATATCAATAAACTGAATCTATAAACATGGATGTGATGGCATTATTCAATGGATCGGGAATAACCTATGGATTTCAGCAAAAAGGTCTTTATCATTGACATATGCAAGCAACTTCACCGTCTGTGAAAGAGTAGTAATGTCACCATAGGATGAGTCCTTGGTCTTCATAAAGACGATCAGAAAAAAAAAGAAAAAAAGGCAAAAACTAGCTAGTAATGGGAATCGTAGTTACTTTCTCTATTGTGTCCTCGACAGCTTCACTTGAATTTTTAGTGGCACCTTTCTTTAAGGTATGATCGCAGAAAGTAGCCAACAGTTCGACACATGAGTTTCCTGAGAAACCCTTGTTGCAGAAAACCTCGAAAACCTCTTTAAGAGGCTGTCAAAAGAGTGAAAAATGGTCAACATTCTAGGTAACTATTGCTGAAAATGTAGCCAAAGGAATATATATGCATATATTCACAGTTCATACCTTGCGGAGAGGTGAGTTGTTCTGGAAACAGTCATTTGAGAATGCCAAGTACTTGGCATTAAGCTCAATGACACTTCTAACTAGAACCTGGAATAATAGATGGAATGGACTGCTTCATATTTGCCAGGATGATTTTAAAATATAAATGAGAAAAATACCAGCTCTTGCAATCCAATCTCATCTTTTTTCTCTGGCTGCATATAATTGTTACCCAAAATTAAACTTTTTAAGTCAGAATATTTTGGAAGGGGAAGTACATTTAGGAGTCGGAAGCAAAAGAATATTAAACAAAAGAATCAACCTTCTGCTAAAGGAAAACTTGGTAGATTTGACATTTTAAAGCAAGAAATAATCAAAGCTTGATTACAAACATAAGCTTGAATTTTCTTTCGACAGGCGAACTCGCCATTATGATTGATCACAAACTAACTACAAACTAACCGCTTGTTGTGCCAGAATCCATGTCCAACTGAGATTTAAGATCATTTCTCTAGTGAGATGGATTTCTGAAACTATCATCATCGTCTCTTCATAATACACAGAAAGACTTAATCATGCTTTTACGAATTTAAATATTGGTCATTCTAAGGCTTCATAGCTAAATGTTCTTAGATAATTGGTCCAAAAGGAATAATTGTATGTTGTTCCAAAGACGAATCACTAGATGTACTTAGTTTGTTGCTCCTTATTTAATGTAGAAAGTCCTCATTGCAACAAGAAAAATATTGAAGATGGTGTGTAAAAACAAAATAATTCCACAGAATTGTAGTTCTAAGGTTATGAATTTGACATAATATCCTGATGGATTTATTCAAGTCTTAAGGAAAAATTTCCTTGCGAAATATTTCTATAAGGTGAACATAAAAAGCTTTATCAATCCCAAAAATTATGAGAGAAAAAGAACCATATTTAGGTTGGTTATAAAATATGTAACATAAGGATGGACAAATCTTTAATCTGACCACAAAAGACATTCTCTAAGGAAAAGTTCTACCTTCTTATTGCTTGCAGCATCTTCTGCTTGTTTCATCAAGACTGTAAGTTCAGCGGTAACTTGCTGCATGGTGAACAATATAATGACATCAACTACTAACATCAGATAGTAATTCACTTGACTTGTGGTAAAACATATGATGGAAGTTCAGTACTAACCTGTTTAATTATCTCTGAAATAAGATTCATACCACTTGCTATCTTGTAGAAGAGTCTACACATCCTAGACAAATCGTCCACCTAGCCCAAATAAAAGGTTAATGTTGACCACCAGATAACTTCAACCTTTACTTTGTGTGTGTATATATATATATATATACCTTGTTATCCCGAATCAAGACATGGCATCCTGAGGTTTCATTTTCGAGAAGCTGGTTAGTATAAGGTGACAGAAGCTCATCTTCGACTTTCTGCCAAGAAATCAACATGTGGAATAAATTATACAGTACGCAGCCAAATATAAACTTATTCAGAGTAATTATAAAGTCATAAAAACACTTGGGACAAACCTGCAGTAGCTTCGGTTCACTGATCTCATGCAAATAATGAAGAGCTCTGTCCTTCTCTCGTTTCAAGCACTCCTCGGCCTAAAGACACCAAAGAATGTCACGACATGATATCGAGTCATTGAGGCCTTTGCCATAATTCAAACAAAATTAATGTTATTACTTTAAACATGTAATCTGGACAGGAATCTTCCACAATCCAGATTGAAGCTTTCTGAGAATAGTATGTTGAGGTCTCTCTCAGCATGTGTGCCTCGAAGTCTGTTTCATAGTAATGCGTCTTCCCCGATCCAATCTCAACAAAGATATTCAGGACATTCTTCAATAAGGTCTTATCAACCTGCTCCCCGTCGCGCTCTCGATTAATCTGCTCAGTAGACCAAAAACGAAAGATTTATACCACTTGTTTAAAAAGGAGTCGTTCAGCACATGCATGGAGTAAGATCAAATTACCAAAGAGATCACAGCATCTCTCACTTTGTCTTTAAGAACCTGGTAAACCTGATCAAATACAACAGTTAGCAATTTTAGGCATAGAGAGCCAGACAGAAGCACGCAAACTTCAACATGTTATGAAGAATCCTTGACATTACCAGTTGTCTAAAGCAATTTAGTCCAACTTCAGCGAGTGGAGTGAGAGATCTTCGAGGAATGTAATAGCGATTAATATAGAAGAAGAAATGTGTTAGCCATCTGACCATTACTTTATAGTTCTTCCATCGATGTACAAGTTCCAGCAACATGACCTCATCGTGTTTCTCGCTCAATGCTGGCAACGCCTGAGGGAGGAAATAAAAGTTGCAGAAAACGTATCAAAACAACTAGATAACAAGACAAAGAGTCATATATAAAGAAACATCAACAATCTGCACATATAACAAAAAGAATATTCTTCACTTCATCAAAGTATCAAACTATCGTAACAAAGGCCACGGATAATTAATTACAAGATTACAAGAACAAAGATATCCTAAACTTCCATGATTAAAGACTCAAGTTGCAATGGTACAGGCCACGGATAATTTGTTATAAGATTACAAGAACAAAGATATCCTAAACCTCCAAGATTAAAGACTCAAGTTGCAATGGTACGTAGCAGCTGGTTCGATAAAAAAAAATCTTCCAAACCTGCTAATAAGAGGCACCATCCACGTTCTGAAGCATGCAAGTCCAATATGGCCCATGTAAACAATAGTGTCTTGAGAAGACCTCTTCATATATTTTTGCCATCTGAACAACATTTTTGGCCCTTCTGAAACATCTAACTTTGTGAAGCTTCACGTCTCCTTAGGTTATATCAGACATCGAATTATGAAGAGCACCTCATATCAATTAACAGCGGTGCGGTGTATTGATCATTAACGCAATCAACTCTATTATTTTATCCACCCCATGCTTCAATAACCCAGCTTACATATCGAAGTGTAGCTTTATGATATTATGGAATACAATGAAGATGCTGAGGTAGAGACAATGTTTAGTTAAAACTACAAAAATAGTACTAAGAGGTAATAGGTGGAAGTGCTGGTATATGCCACACAACGTCATACTTGGTTTGCCTTACAGCATGTTTAGCCATATAATTTTAGTTTCTTGCCACGATTATTTGTTGTACATATATGTGTCCCTACAGAATAAACATAACAATTATATTACAAAATACAACTTCTACATATCAATTATGTACTCCAGTAGTGTCTTGAACTTCAATTATGCTTGCAATTTTAGTTCCTGAAACTGGCGACAAAATGTTTTCGCTTCTATCGAAAAATAGATAAGATGCTTGTATCCAACAATGATCAACTCACAGTAATTGATCCAGCATTTGTACTAAATCCTCAATCAAAACATATAAATAAAATCACTATATACTAAGTTGCACAATCTGTATACAAATAATTTACTTTAATCTAGTATCATATTTAACCTCTGACGGCAACATCATCGTATCAATAAATACACAAGTATAGCATCTGAGAAGTTGGGTAGTTCCACCGACGCAGTTCACAAATTACCGCAAACAGAATCCGACGATTCATGTATTTCCTAAGTAGCCGAAAAGAATGATCTATATCCGTAAAACAACATGAGACTTTGCTCACCTCCGAAGTCAAGTACTCTTCGAGCAACTCCCGGTACTTGTCATAAAGCAGCTGCGAGTGGTCCTGAGGGTGGTTCCGAGAGGCTATATTGAAGATAGTCCTGATGCAGCAGCAAAAGCCAGAACACGATCATGTCAAGCAAAAGACAACCGAACGCATCAATGCGGCGGGAACAACAAGGAAGTTCGATCGGAAGCATACGTATAGAGCATCATGCACTCATCGGTGATAAACGACGGCTCGGCCCGCCCTTCCAGGATGTTCGTCAGCTTGGTGATGCCCTTCTGTACCAACTCCAATCCCTCCTCCAGATCTACGATCTTCCCCATGACGCTAAGACCAAACGATCCAAACCCCTACAAGTCCAACAGTCCACGCGAACCAACCGAGGCCTAGAAACCGAATCCGAACCAAAATGACAGCCGAGAAACAGAGTAAAGATAGCAGAGCAGACGTACCTGACGAAAGGAAAGGAGATGAGAAGGAATGGGCGATGGGGAAGCCAAAACCCAAACCCTCGAAGTCGAGAAGAGGCCGATGATGAAGACGATGGAGGGAGGACGCCCGGATCCTTCTCTATGTATAGAGAGGGAAGAGGTCGGTGGAGAAGGGCGGGCGATCTCATGCTTTCGGTTGGGATTCCTTCTTTGGTTTCTTGGAATTGATTTGTGTCCTCGGACACGAACTCTAATCTCTGGTTCGGGTCTAGAGTTGTCCTACATTGGTACCTGCATACATACCCTTTTCACTTACTGGTTGAAGTGAGCAACCCCGCTGTGGGACCCTCGGTCGACCACATCAAAACGTGGAGAGCTGGTGGGTTTCAAAGGAGACCGTGACAGAAAGAATCGACTTGATTTATTTGTGAGCCAACGAATCGACCTTGTTAGTTATTAGTTGAAGCGAGTGACGCTGCCGTTGGGCCATTCTAAATGGTGGGCCCACTCCCCTGGGGACGGAGGTGTTCAGGTGTGCCGTAGTATAAATGGTGGGAGCAAGCGCTGTGGATCATCCATAACACCCGCCCTTCACGCTTTACGATGTGTGCCGAGACTTGATTAGCGGCTTTGGATCATCCGGACCGAGGCCTATGGACGGACCCCACCCTAAAACATTCATACCAAAGGATTTAAATCCTTGACTAATTCCTTAAGCAAAAGAAATCCAATTTAGTTACTTATTTTTAACTGTCTTCGTTAGGGTACCTTAATTTGGCTTAGGTGAGATAATTAGGCATAGGATCCACTAACTTATGAGTTCATCCAATTAGAGTATCCTCATTGTCATCCATCTCAAATATAATCAATAAGTATTGGATCTAATTAAAATTAGAGAATCTCGTTTTGGGAGGGAGAGCAAAAGAGAGAGAGAAATATATATATATATATATATATATATATATATATATATATAACAATTATTATGAATAATTATGACACTTTATTTTTTATATTATATTATAACTAGTATTATAAAAATAGTGAAATATTAACTTAATATGGAATATAATAATTATGACATTTATTTCGTTACGGTGAACCCGTGGATCGGTGTGTCGCGAGTCGAAGCGGCCGAGTTGGATCGTTCCTGGGTGTACAAGACCCAACCCTTATCGACGGAATGCTTTATATCCCTCCCAACTCTCTCTCTCTCTCTGTCTCAAGCAGCTTCCAAGACAGCAACGATGGCGTGCGAAGCGTGCTGTACGTTGCTGAGACCTCCGATCCTCCCTTATCGCCAGGCACTAGCAAAGAAGGTGACAAGCCATTCGTTTCTCGAACCTAAAACTGGAAACTTTCTCTTAATTCCCGGCGTCCCTCAAATATACTAATGCTTGTTCTTTCTGAGGAAGTTTTGTATTTGTATGAACTGTTTTTTTATGGTATATCCTGCTGGCAACTCATTTGCAGTATAATTTTGTATGAGGCGATACGTCATACGGCTGGTGGGCAGAAAATGCCGGTAGTTAGGAGTAGAGAATCGGGACGATTTGTGGGTAGATGAGACTTCACCGAATTAGTCCCTCGATAAATTGGGTATAGACCAAGATGATAACAATGTTAAAGGAGGTTGGAATTCTTGTAGATAAGGAAAACAATGGAATAGATAAAGGTTGCTTGATACATTAGGCCGTTCAGAAGGACATTGTTTTATGCATATCTAAGAAACAAAATGAAAGGGGAAACAACAAATAATTTTTAGGGTAAATTGAACTGATTTCTTGTTCTGATGAGACTAAATGACTAAGATGGCTTTTGCTGTCGGTGGCTATGATCACATTTGAACAAGATTTGTGTATTGAAGACACTTGGTAGTGGAAGGATGGCTTGTGACTATCTTAGTTGCGCATTTGATGTTTTGGGATTGTGAGATTGGATGTTGCTACCAAGAAGGAAGAATTTCTAGCTATGAAGCATCTCAGAAACAGGAGGAATCGACAAGGTACCCAAAGGTCAAGTGTTCTGATGTTAGCTTCTCATAGTCTCCCATGGGCCATTAGAAAATATGATTTGACATGCCCAAATTGGAGGTTAGATTTTGGGCAAGAAAGAGATAGGAGGACCCATTGAAGACCAATTAACAAAAGGTATGTATCTGTCTATAATGCATTGATGTAAATGAAGAGTTCAATTCGTTTTGTTTCTTCTTTAGAACCAGTAAATCTTGGACCCGTACAACTGTGTCACAGAATCAATCAAACCCAATATATCTATCCTATACAACAGAAATGTCCCTCTCATTGGAGTTATTAACAGTTAATTTTGGGCTTTTCAAGTTACTTTCTTGTTATGCATTGAAGAAGTCCCTCATTGAACTTTAACTTCAATCCATGAGAGCCATTGAGACTGCCAAAATGGAACTGAAACCAAAACTAAAAGTTCAAACCATCAAAATCCTCTTCCTTTATAATCGAATTGGTTGTCTTCGTGCCTGAATCCTGATTGTCTTTAGTAATCTTTTCTGCACTGATAGTGACTAGGTGAGAGACTCATGCATTGGGCTGCATTTTTTTCATTGAATAGACGTACAAATTTTCCTTAGTATTCATATCGGTATGTATTATCTTTTTCTTTCATTCGGTTTATGTCTTTTAATTTATTTTACTTGGTGAATTTTTTCTCTGGTTGTGATGGCTCTTAATAATGCATATCCACCCAAATTTGTATCAGATTAGGGATTATTGGCACACTTACATATTTGGCATTTTACAATGATCAATAAAATGTGGATTAGTCAAATTACGGAAAGATTGAGGTAGTGAAAGATTGGCATGCCTTTTCACATCTTTTGTGCTTTCGATGAAAACTGAATTGTTTATTCCAATTATGTTTTGAAACTTTATGCTTAATATAAAAGATTAAAGGACATAGGAATTTATCAAATCTAACCATTCCACCGTGGAAGCCTTAAGTTTGTAATTCATCTACTTATTCTCCTTGTTAGTCATAAAAGGTTTCATTAAGTCGTGAGTCTTAGTGCATTAAGTGATAGCCAATTGGACTATCTTCCATACTTGCATGTGTGGCCATCTGAACTTAAATCTTGTAGTGCAGCAAAATTGATATGCAGATGTTTATTTGTGGGCTTTTCATAATATGATGGCAGGAGTTATATGTAGGGGCTTCGGATCTAGTCAGTGTATCAGGCAAAACGGCTTCTAGGACAGGTCCAAGGCAATCCTGGTTGTTATGTTGCTTTAATATGTGCAACTTTGCTTCTGCTTTAGCTGATTCTGCTTTGTTTTTGCTTGCAGCAATGAGACTATTCAATATAAATCATCTGATTGGTATGAAGAAGGCCATCAGCTGGGGAAACCATCCTAATCGATCATTGCCGAAAAGGAAAATTTCTGTTTCAGTTATGAGTTTTGATACTGTAAATCCCCGCACGTGTACAACAATATCGGGCTACTGGGTCGGACCTGATGCTGAAGATGGGTGGGGTTATGTCGAGGCTGTCGTGGATCGAAGTGTTTGAATGAATATTTACTCTTCGGCAAATGTAATTAATTCTTTGCAAAGTTTTACATGCTTATCGGTTCTTGATTTTTTCTTTAAGTAGAGTGATTACCTTTATCCAGTTCATACAAGATCATCCATAAGGGAGTATATGTTCATATGCATTTGAAGTCTTCTCCTTTACCACGAGAATCAAGGCTGAGAGCTTAAAACCTTTGAAGAATCAGAAACCCTTCATTTTGCCGTATAGAAGATAAAGCGCCCACCATCGTCTTGAAAGGTTTAGATCTCATTATCGGTAGATTCCATCATGACTTTACACCTACCTATTCACTGAGTTACAGGTGTTACGAGATCTCATTTTGATCCATGGTTATGAAAATGCAAGTGCATAACAACAATCAATGGTAGACAAATCCAAGAACCATACAGCAGTACAAATTGCTTTCGCTAGTGGATCATTAGTCGAAGTTTCATCAGACAAAAATTATTTGGTTTACTATTCATTGAATTGCTGAGCAGAGCATTCAAGAGCAAAGAACAAAATGATTATACATCAAACAGTGTAAATTGACTGAAGAAGTCTGAATTTGACAAGGGATCCTAAAGTTGCCTTGTGATACTGATTAACTTCAATTTTTCTTTCATGGTTAGGTAGTGAGAGATCAAACCAAGATATACCAAAATCATATGTGATCTATGAGATTATCCGCCTTGACAACAACATCTGCTGCAAATCTTTTTTTTACATATTTCTATGAAGAGAATGTTGTAGAGAGAGAGAGAGAGAGAGAGATTCACAAACATGAAGGAAACAAGACAATAAGAAATGATTCCAAATTAGTATTCCAGATGGAAAAGAAACGACAAGTTATGAGGTTCTACAGAGTCCAATGTAAAGTAGATCAGGTGTTTGTTTTATTCTCTCATTCCAAAATCCCTTCATCAATGAAATTATGCAACTCTGCGACTAATAATAGACTTGCCTCATTCTTAATTTAGATTAGTTTTTGTTGTCTCAAACTGTGTTTATGAGTGCCGGTATGAATCGAATCACATGATCTGTTTACCAACACGTCTCGACTTCTTCCTCGGTTAACTCCTTGCCATCAAGTCCACTAATAGATTTACTCTCTTGAACACCACCAAAGAAGATGTAAATGTAGAATGGACATCTAGAGAACGCGGCGAAGCCTATTTTCATGGCATTTTAATTTATTTGTAGATTTAGACAGAGTAACGGTTGTCTGTAGAACATTTTACATACATATCAGACCCACATTAATTGGACTCTGTAGAACCTTGATTATTGATTGATAAGGATATTTGAGGATTACATCACCTAAGTCATTAAGTAATTTGTAATGACTTGATTATTGATTGATAAAGATATTTCGTTTCACATTAATTGAGGAGTAAGGGAACCAATGACTCATAAGTTCGTCGGATTATCCTTACCCTCAAAAATGTCTGTTTTTGAGCTCAAAAGTTTCGAAAGAGCAATACAATATAGGTACATCGATTACTCAAAACGGATAATTTCTCTTAAGCCCATCGCATAAAAAATGATAAAATATCAATTAGATAACAAAATATCGCAAGAACGTTGTAACACCCATGATTAGTCCCATATTGAAAATAAGCAATATTAAGATTGACTTATAAGGGTTTGATGAGTATATTATTATTAACTTCAGTTTAAGTATTTTGATCAGTGGTTTAGACCAAACGAAATTGATAAGCTAATTAGCCTATCAAACTCGGATCATAACATTTGATATCAGAGCCGACCTAGCATTTAAGCTCGAGTAGGACTAATCCCTCTAATCACTTATCATCATCGCTTTGATTCTAATTAGAATAGATATCAAAAGATCGATTTGATCTGAATCGTTAAAAATAATTAAAATGAAAAATATATTTGAGAACCGATTGAATCATTTAATATGTGTCATGTCGTTACCACAACCAAAGTAATCTTATCACCATTGAAATATATTTTACTTAAATTAAAAGTATTTAAATATTTATCAATAATTTAAATTAAGATTTTTTTATATTTTTTATCATACCACTTATTTTAATTATCCCACTCCTTAACATTGTTCATATCATTTTAGAAGATTATTTCTCATTTTATCTTTTATCAAAATGATATTTGTAATTAAAAATATTTCATTTTTCTATCTTCATAATAACTTCATGTATTCATCTCAGTATTTTTATCTCAATAACATAAATATTTATATATATATATTATTTTTTAATAATCAAACACTCAAATCTATAAATCATTGTTAATTTATGGAGCATCATATAAATAAAAATATATACAACAATCACATAGGTCTCTTGAGACCCCTTGTCATCATTTTTGTTATATATATGTCATGCCAATATATCGGACAAATTTATTTCACCAGCATGAAGTATCCTTTTGTACCAACAAAATTATAACACTGCATAGCAGAGTTCATATTAACAAATATACTTTACAGTGATTAGAGAATATTGTCAATTTTTGCAGCAACCACAAGTGCTATGCTGGTGAAAATAGACTACATGGACTGCGTATAGCTGCTACGGTCTCATAATTCTCAATCAATATAAATTGACAGGGCAAGCAAACCACAGAGGTAAAAGAACACACATCTTATACAACCAACGCCCTAAATTACTTTCTACTTTCCTTGCATGTTATTGTACAACCACCATGTTATTGCATTCCATGTAGTTTACGAGAAGGTGTTCTGCAAAGTCCACTCCTCAGACCCAATCAACATATTCAGTTGAAACCTTCGGCTTTCTTTTTGGCTTCTGATATCTGTTGTTCTCAAACTTTGCCTTGGCAATTAGAGAATCGAGCAAAGCTGCCTCCGCTATGTCATACGGGGCGGCTAAGGCACTGCAAAAGATTTTTACAACTGATGAAATTAGCTGAGGTATATATATAATCTGCATTCTATGTTTCTTTATTTGACTTTTAAGACAAATAAGATACAATCACGATCTGCCTATTATACACATCACTGACCTCTGGAGTAGATCCTCTAATACTTCTCGCTGAGAAGGTGTGACATAATGTATGCAGTTTCTTGGGCACTGTCCGACAGCAAGTTGGACGAGGTAATCATCGCTATGTCCTGCAGAAGAGATTATGGCACTAAGTAGCTCAGTAGTTGGTTAAGAAACAAATCCAAGAACTCAGGCATGAACTTTCACTGGGAACTGAAGTGTGTACATGGTCACAATCTTTGTGTGCCATGCACCCTAGGTGTGAGCGGTATGCATGGGATCACACATTTGCAGTGTTTGGGTGAGTTTTGATAGGATTTTTGGAGGGAAGGAAGATATATTTGAATGAAATTATACCACCAAGGTAACAATAAGTGGTAATTCCACAGTTATGACATGAGTATATGATGTAAATGGATATAGAAATAAGATATGATGGATATGTGTTTATACTTTACATAGCATGATGGCATGTGTTACATAAATGCTACATGTGACATGGTGTAGGTAATGGATGATATAACATATAAAACATGACTCATAATATCTAAATAATGTGATACGATGGACTTGTGTTATTGCAGGCATACATGTTTTGTGCATAGGACTTCTCTTTATGAACTATGTACCATTAGTATACTGTTCCATTGGTTATATATAATACTTGTTTCGCGGAAATGATGACCAATGTAAAACTTTTTGATCAAAGTTCAGACATGGACCCTCATGGAATTCTTTACAAGCAAATATTCTCTTAAACTAAATAAATTAAACCTCAAGTTCATGGTTTATAAAAACTAGCAGAAGCTTTTAATCACTAAGTGCACTTTAATAGTTGTGTTCTACAAAATCTATTAGTCGTTTAAATAACACTTTAAAAATCATAAGCTAAAGAGCACAATAATCTCATGGGCAACAAAAACGCTTTCCAAACACAAAATGATATATAGAATAGATATCCCCATTCCCCAACAAAGGCAGCATAAAGAAATAAGAGACTGAAAAACTCAAACCAAAAGTTGAGGTGGTTATGGGATGACTTCTGATGCAATGGCCACAAGTTTCTTTTTTTTGGGCCAAATATTACAAAGTATAACTTGTAACTTGAGAACATTTGAACAAAATAGAAGTACCTGGGTATTACTGATCTTGTAATTGAATAAGTGCATAAACCAACGGAAATGACTTGTTGGATGTTCAACTTCAACAAACTTGATGTTCAAAGATAGAAAATACAGGATCTATCTTAAAAATTTTGTAACTAAAGAAATGAAACTAAAACTATAACAGACCTTGAGAGATCACACGAGCTGTAGCATTCTCAGGAGAAAAAGAAAAGGCATGGGGTGCCCTTTTGACACAAGAATATGGACATCCTGCACGAAACAATTTCGATATGTAGGATGGAAGAGACGAGAAACTAGAAAGGAAACAAAAAAATGTATCATATATGCTTGATGCAACAGTTGAAAAAAGAATACCTTTACCAACACACTGAAACTCATTGATGAAGAGATCATAAGCTTCACATTCTGGCTCATCGAAGGGGTCAACGCCTGGCCTACAGAACAACATATTTTAGATCAAGGAACCGACAGCAAAAGATATGCAGGTTTGTAAAATGATTTTGCTGGACGCAAAAATCACCCCTCTAGTTCTAACAAAAGTGTATGAATATCTATATTAATTTGGACATTAATTTCTTCAATAATTTAATATATTAATGCTGTTAAACCTGTGTTTACAAAACAAGAACACTAGTGCCAATTTTCTTAAGAAAAGCTTTAGAATTTGTATGTACTTCCAGGTTACATAGTTCACACTGAAAAGCAAAAATTTCTTGAAGCTTGCATTCTAGGAGCATTATGCAATTCTCTATACCAAGAATGTTTATCAAAATTAACATGGCAAATTCTCGTTTATCTCACTGAAGGTGTGTATTTTTTGATCCATTAGAAGTTGATGTATGAAAAAACTAAAAAGTAATATTTGTTCATTAGCTTGATGGGTAAAGACCTCGTCAGATCACTACAAAGTGATCAACCTTTTCCAAGAAAAAGAAAGAAAATTCTTAAATGTAATAT